ATATATATATATATATATATATATTTGTTGCTGCGTTGCACTCGTGAAGCCAAAGTGGATGACTTGATGTTTAACGTTCGACTGTCATTCATCTTTCTCACCTTCACACTGTGCCCAGGATTACAGGATGATTAAACTCTAATAGCAGCCTTTGGAGAAGTCTGAAGGGATTTAGTCTCAAGTCAACATGCCAGACCCCATTTCCTCCTGCACTCACAGCTGCCTCTCAACACCCCAGCACCTCCAGCCTGGATCTCCATGTGGAAGTTGTATAGATAGAGAAAACCCTGGAAGTGACCCTGCACACTGCCCTGGATACACAGCTGGGTCAGTGAAGGCCTGTTCTACCAAATGTTATATAATTAAACTAATTAACTAAATGTTAACTAAAAAACAAGAAGTTAAAAAAAAAAAAATTAAAGGCAAGAACCCAAACCATGAATGTGTAACATTTATTTATGTATCTACCCAACCATGTAGTGTATATTATTACTTACTCTGACATTGTATGTTTGTTCTCACCCTAAACATTTACAAGTGAAAAGTGAAAAGCTGAGGATTTGTGAAGAAATTAGGAAAACTTGAAAGTCTGTAGCAATTGTTGCTTGCAGCCCTTATCTGGGTCACCTGAATAACATTTTTATGTTTTTGGCCACATCAACAGCGAGAATTTGAGATGTACTAAAATGTTGAGAGGTGGCATTGTGGTGGAGGAACTGGTCATAGCTTGTGCTTCCAAGAAGCCAGATGTTCTTGTAATGTTAAAAAAAAAAAAGTGGTCTTAATTACATCAACCTTTCTGAAGTCCTTTCAGATTTTTTTCTTTACGTAGACTATTTTTAAATATTCATTTTTAGTTTAGGAGGATTGTTTTGTAGTTTCCTAAACTGCTTAACTCTTTGAATCATTCAGGGATATAAAAGCATCTAAACTGAAGAGATGAACTGTTGTTGTGGTGACAAATTACTGTCAAATCTGAATCTGAATCAGAATAAACTTTATTATCATTGCACCGACATACAACGAGAACATGCACGTACAGTCGTCCGAAAGATGTGCGGAGTGCATGAAGCTGCTGCCATGAAAGCGCGGCAAATCTGCAAAGAATCAATTTTGTGCAGGATGTCTGGGAACTTTGCAGCACGGTGGCACAGTTGTTAGAGTTGTGTCCGTTCAAATCCTGGTCTGGAGGCCTTTCTGGGTGGAGTCTGCATGTTCTCTCCGTGCATGCATGGGTTTTCTCCAGATGCTCCAGTTTCCTCCCACAGAACAAAAACATGCATGTTAAACTGATTGGTAACTCTAAATTGTTCCTAGCTGTGAGTGAGAGAGTGAATGGTTGTTTGTAAGTTCCCAAACATCCATCCATTATCTTTTACCCGCTTCTTCCTTTTTGGGTCGCAGGGGTCACTGGTGCCTATGTCAAGCCATCACTGAGTGAGAGGCGGGGGACACCCTGGGCAGGTCTCGAGTCCATCACAGGGACACATAGAGACAGACATTCACTCTCTCTCACTCACACCTAGGGACAATTTAGAGTTACCAATCAGCCTAGCATGCATGTTTATGGTCTGTGGGAGGAAACCAGAGTACCCGGAGAAAACCCACGCATGCAAGGAGAGAACATGCAAACCAGTGGCGGCTCCAGAGATGTTTTTCTGCAGGTGCTCAGCATTTTAC